ATAAAAGACTGATAGGACGGTATGAACTAGCAGTGTGATGGTTTTTGTTTGGTTTAGCGATCATAATAATTTCTGCAGTCTTCCACGCTGTGGGCCAATAATTGTATTGAAGTATGGCGTTGAAAATATTTGTTATATATAAAATACCTTTTGTAGGCAATTCTTTTAACATCTTTGGAGTAATTTTATCCATACCCGGCGAAGATCTATTTTTTATCCTTTTTATTTCACATAAGACATCATTTGGTGAAAAATGTCCTAACGGTGTAGAATGTATGGGTTGATTTACGAAATTGTTAATTAAATTATTCTGGGAAATATTTCGAGCGCTAAAAATGCTACTTAGATGATCAGCAAATGCCTCCGCTTTTTCTTCGTTGCTTTTTGCCCAAATGAATCCGTTTTGGTTGGTTATTTTCAGAGGAGGGTTTTGTTGTAGGGGTTTACTTTTGTTTCTGATTGGTTTCCATATGGAATTATCGTACCTATTTAGCTGCAATATATACGACCTGAATGTACAATTCTTCCATTCTTTCATTTTTTTCCTCAGCGTATTATTGAGATGATTAAGCGATGTCTTATCCGTTGGTAGATGAGAATGTTGCCAGGTACGTCTTGCTCTTCGTTTCTGTGCAATTAGCTTCTTAATCTCTTGCGGAATTATTAGATTATCATTTCTTGGAATAATGTTCGGGGTGATCTGCTTGGTTGTTTCACGTACAATCTCAGAAAAATAATCTATATTATTTTCTATATCAATAACGCTTGTAGGCCTAGATTTTGGAAATAATTTTGAATCAAGTATGGATTTGAATTGAATCCAGTTAGAAAGATTGTTGTGTAGAATATGATTGTTGATAACTGGAGTAGGAAATGTGCTAAACGTCACAAGTATTGGAGAATGATCTGAAGAGAGATCGTAACTAGATTCAATATTGAGATTTGAAAGATCAATACCCTTCACAATAAAAAAATCTAAAAGGTCTGGAACTTTAGTAGGGTCAGAAGGCCAATAAGTTGGACTGCAAGTTGAAATAAAGGAGAGGTTATTTTGCCCTATGGCTGCATGAAGAATCTTTCCTTTGGCTGTAGTCAGTCTAGAACCCCAGGCAATATGTTTACAATTAAAGTCACCACCAATGATAAATTTATTACCTAATTGAGAGAAAAATGAAGAAAACTGAGCACAAGAAATTTTGAATCTTGGTGGACAATAAACAGCAGAAACACAAAAATTTTATAAATTTGTTTCAACAGAAATTTGAGTTGCTTGTAGAAAATCATCAGAAATATTTGGTAGAACAAAATGCTTTATATTATTTTTGATTAATATAGCCGAACCGCCGCGAGCCCTGCCACTTGGGTGATTTGAGTTATAAGTAGTGTAGTTATAAATTTTAAAGTAGTTTTTTTCAGTGAAGTGAGTTTCTGAGATTAATAAGATATCTATTAAGTTTAACTTTAAAAAACATTCTACTTCATTTTTGTGAGGTATTAAACCGTTGGCATTCCATTCAGCAATTTTAATTATTTTTGCCATTGCTTTTGTTGTTGACTAACGTGGATAACATATTTATTATTATGGTGTTCTGTTGCAAAAGCTGATTGAAGATATTTTTAAATTCTAAAATAAGTGTTGCTAGAGAATCAGAATCGGGATTTGAAGGTGAATGATTAGAAGCAGAGTAATTGTTTTTTGCAATGTCTGCATAGGATGAATTTTGAATTGTTGGATTTAAGGCCGGAGAAATGTTGTTTATTTTATTATTAGAATTAGAATTATTAGAATTTTTAAAATTTTGGTTATTTGGATTTGGATTTATGACTGATTCATTTACTGGAGATTTGTTTCTTTGTTCTTTAATTTTTTGGAAGTATGAGCAACCGCGATAATTAGCTGGATGAGCACCGTCGCAAAAATAACAACATGCCGGAGCATTCGGATCTTTGGTACAAGCTTTAGTATTATGATTGTTACCGCATTTTAGGCAAGCAAATGGTCTATTGCAGTATTTTTTGGTATAATTAAAGAGTTGAAAGCGAGTGCATTGTATAATGTTGTTGGACTTTCTCGGTGGTTCGACGCGTATTATGCAGTTGAATAATTTATAAATGTTATAAATATTTTTGTTATTTCTATTTGGTTCCAGATCAACAAAAAGCATATTAAGAGGTTCTTTTGTTATTCTATGTCTAATATTTAGGATATTACGTACGACATGACCCTGTTTTAATAGTTCTAATTTAATTGCATCTGTGCTTGTTGAAAAGTGTACATTTCTAAGAACAACCCTATAAGCCTTCTCTTCTTTTAATTGATATGTATGATATACGGCATTAGTTTCTTTTAGATGTCTGGATAAAGTTCGAAAAAGGTCGACAGAATTACATAGAATTTTAAATGTATTGTTAGCTAAACTTCTCAGGAAATATTGATCGTGCGGAATTATTTCATTTAATTGATTAGACATATCATTAATATCGTCAACTCCGTAAATAAATATTGGAGGGGGCTTACTAACTGGAGCCGGTTTAACTGAGTTGTCATCATTAGCTGTGTCTATTGTTGAAAGGGCCGAAAATCTGTTTTGAATTTTGACATCTATTCCTAATGGTTCAAATGAAGTTTTTCTTTTTTTGAAATTGACTACTTGCCATGAATTAGGAGGTTTCTTGACATCAGAATGTGGTTGAGAGAGGCTTGTAGATGCATTATTACTAGATGATATTACTTCCTGCATTGAGTCAGTAACTGATGAAGTTGAACGCAGCGAGATCTTTTCCGATGTAAACATATTGGTCCGACCTTCCTCGCGAGGTATCTTGCTGTATTTGCTGGATCCAATAACGGTCCTACGTAGTTTTGGGATTTCTGATGGTTTACTGTCCGATTCCATATTCGCTTCTATATCTTGATTGAAATGTAAGACATTTTTTTGATTCCACAAACGCACATTAGAGTCTCGATTATGTATGGTTTTTTGTAAGCAATTATTTAATTATCTGTACACTTTTGTAAGCTTTTCATGCAATTTTAATAAACCGTAAAATTCAATCTGACATGCACTTGTTTTTTTCAATTCAACATTCAGCACTAGTTTTAATTATCTGTTAACCAAAGTTCAATATTCTGCTTGCGTTGCAAGATTTGTATCTTGTCGCAATTTGAATAAGCCGCCGGTCACGGTTATATGAGGTTTAGTTCTAATGTTCTAAATCGAAGCCCTTGAGGGTGTATTGCAATTGAGATGCGAGGTAATGTAGTCAGCATAACTTGGATTCGTAGTAAATAACATCAATATAATGAAATCGAAACATCAGATCACCATCTTGTACATTTTTATCTAATTTAGAAAACAAAGTTCAAAATTATATGAAGCTTTCGCTAGAATATGACTTTTATTTGGTGGCATTGCAATTATTAATATAATTCATAGAATTTGATTTCTATATTTCTATATAGATATTCTATATATAATCTTTATGATCGTGTTTGTTTTCGATATGGGTTTATAAATCTATAAACATAGTTTTGTTAGTCCAATAAACCAACTCTGCCGTGAAATGGAATAAAGTTATGCTGCTTTTTTTGTATAAAATGGCATTAAACACTGTCAAAATGCTAACTATGTAATTTTATCGTAAGTGCATCTTTGTGATGTGCCATAATAACAAATACAAGAAGTAAGATTTTATGTATAAAATGCCTGATTGCACAGCAAATACATAGCATTTTGGCAGTTTTTACTACCATTTTACATGAAAAAAGCAGCGTAATATAGCGTTGCCCATTTTGGTCTGTTTTTACGAGAGAATTGGTCCATAATTATGCAGTTAGTGCGTATATTGTTTTAATATCCCCTAGATTGTCCAATCAGCGGTTACAATCGTTGGCCATAATACACTATTCTGAACTAAAGGCATCTTCTTTTTTCAAAAAAAAAAAAAAAATTGTTTTATACATATAACAAAAATATAATACATTACAATATGTATAGTGTAGGCCTGAAAGATTCTATATCTTACAAGCTAGTTATTGAATAAGTAATGTTAGCTCCTTCAAAATATTTTAGTATGTTATATAAGGCCATGATCTTTAACAGCAAAAAACTGTAATAAAAATCGCCAGACAAAATATTCGAACAACTTACAAAGAAACGGTCCGGATCATCTTTACTAAAAACACAATCAATAAAAATAAAAATTAAAATTAAAATTTTTGAAAATTTTTGAAAATTTTTCCATGCTACAAAACTTTGATTGAATTGCGCTCTATCTAAACGTTAATATTAAGAGCTAAAACTTTCAGAGAATTGTTTCTTATCTATTTGGAACCATTTAAGCCCCTCTGAGCAAGAAAATGCGAAAATGACCATTTTAAGGACCACCCTAATATATGTATATATATATATATATACATATATATATATATGTATATATATAACAGTTTTCGAATTTAGTTAAAAGGAATTTTAGATTTTTGGCTGAACCGTGAACGAAAGTTTTTGCACCCTTCTTTTAATTCGTTTCAGGACAACTGATTAGTCTCTATCTTTTAAAAATTTTCATATAGATTAAATAATCTTGAGAGAAAGTCGGCGAAAGGTTAAACATCTCACACAACATACACACTAGTTTTTCCAATTTTAGTCTCAAAACCATTCACAGTGAAGATCGGATTTTATCGTGGGAACGAAGTTTTTTCCTAGGCAAATTTAAAAAGATTTTGTTTTATGTAAGTATAATTAATCCTCACAAAATTCACTCATAAATGCAGCCCAATATAATTCATTATAAATAATATCGTGTAACATGATGTTATAAACCTAAGTATTACACGCCTATCGCATTTCAAATCATTTAATTCATATTTAACCAATGGATAAGCTTTTTTCTTGTGTGCACATGGAAAAGTGATAGTATCATACTAAATGTATAAATCTGGTCTCTAGTAGAGTTTAATTTGTTTTTTAATAATATTGCCAATGAATTGGTTTCAGAGACAACTCCTTGAATCGTCGCAGTACTGTGACAAATGCAACCATAATGCGTGTCAATACCGGAACAGTTCGTGTTAAAGTGGCATCGCCCGAAGAGGAAACTCTTGTTCTGGTTGAAGACTCTCCATATTCAGGAAATAACAATCATCATGTGAGAAACATGAAAAAATATCAGGTTGTGCAAGTACATCAAAACCACGTTAATCATAATCCTGGTTTAAATTCGACTCGAACTCTCGCGTCTAAAGTTCTGCTCAGGTGTTCCGAAGTTCTTTCGAATAATACGACAAAATTGTAACCAGTTTTATTTGTGTGAAATATGTCCGCAGCGTTAGAGCACTTAAGTTTCTGGAAAAAATAAAGTGAAATTTAGGCCCGATATAAGGTCAAATTTTAAAGGTGCTCATTTGCACAGTGCATTTAATTAAGAATCTAATATTCTGAGATCTCAAAACTTCCATTGCTCAATAACTATGCTATTTAGTTAGATTTTTTTTAAATTAATTTCTCAAATCATACCCATTCGGTGAATTAAAATCATAGCTTATATAGAAGCATTTCATGTTAAATGTGTGAGTTTTATAAACCAAAGGTGGACGATGTTAAACCATTATCTGATCAATGTGCAGCATTAAAAAGACTATCTTTTAGGTTATAGTGCTTATATTACTGAATGTATAACAATAAATATTTTTCGAATAAATAAAGATGCTTCAAATGATGTTTTTTCATTATTAAAATAATTTTTAACCTAGTATTTCTGTAATATGATAATTATGTATGATTGCCTTTATTCGTAAATGTGCGTACAATTGAACCCGCAATGATTGAGGATGAGAAAATCTGTAATTAGAAGTTGTCTATATAATATATAACAATAGTTATAAGAAGTTCTCAATATTAAGATTGTCGTTTTTCTTTTCGAATTTTTTAACTATTTTTGTCAAGAATACTCGTCATGGAAAAGTATATCTATATTTGCGTGTAAATAAATCATTGACTATTAGCATTGGAGAAAAACAAATCATTCTAACTTAAGATGGTAAATATTTCAAGTTATAAAATAAGTAGTTGTTAGTAGGTTTTTAACAAGGCGACTTAATCGATAATTGAGTTTTTGTTAAAAAAAATAATTTATGTTAACCGTGCTAAGTACAAATTGTTTGGATAGACGAATAACTTGATAGACCGAATCACTTCCGCGATACGCTGCTGAAATGCAATGAAATCGAATCATTTCTGAAACATTTCATAACTGGTAAGAAAAAGTAAATTATATACGACAATTGAAGGCAAAATAAATCATAGTTTAGTGAAGATGAGCATCGACAAACGTTTACAAGTTAGGAACGGCACTAAAAAAGGTGATGCTGTGTTTGTGGTGGGACTGGAAGGTAATTGTCAATCGTCATCAGCAACTTTCAGTTGGTCAGGCCATTAATTATTAACCATACTGTAAATCAATAGAGAGATTACGCCAAACAATTAAAATAATTACATCAATTGAAGATATTGTCATCCACTATGACAAAGCCCGACCATACACTTATTTGATGACCTGCCAAAAGTTGCAAAAGCTTAGTTGAGTAATTTGATCCACCGTATACTCCAGACATAGCACCCTCTGACTAATATTTGTTCCGATCTCTGCATAACTTTCTTAATGGAATTAAACTGATTTGAAAAAGAGCTTGATTTAGCTTTTCAACCAGAAACCACAGAAGATCTTCACCGATGCCGATATTAATGAAGCATATTTAGTTTGAATAATTATAAAAAAACTTGTTGAGTTTCACAAAATAAACGAATCAAACTTTTGACTTGGCCCAATATTTAATAAGAATTAAAATGTAGTATTAAAACTTTCAATTTTGTAAAAAAAAAAATCTTTTTGATCTGATATAAGACACGTCCGTGGCACTATTCTATGAGCGCGCCACGTTTAACTGGTTAACTGAAAACAATTGCACTTGTTTATAGATTCTAATAGGTGTAAAGAATAGTGAACGCGTATGATATAATAATGAATAATAATAAATAAAGCGAATAAAGAACGCGCTGATGACAAGATAAATGAAGTTTTAACACTTTGGGGACGGCTGTTCACCTCAGTGGACAAACATACTCTGTGAGGCGCAGGCTATTTTATAAACAATGACTCAGTTTGCATAGAAAAGTTGAATAAATTACATATAGCCGTGATAAACAGTGTTGTATTTTGAAAATAATTTTAAGTTATTTTAGTAGTATTTTTAGCCTTTTTCTTTGCTATATGGTCTTTTTTTAATATTTAAAACGACCGAGCGCTTTTAAATATGGCAAAACGACTGGTAAATTTTGTGAATTAAGCAGTAGTAAAGATGAGTTTCAAATAGACATTCATACAGACAGTGGCGTAACTAGGCCACCCGGGGCCCGTGGCGAATTTTTTTTATGGGGCCCCCCATCAGTAAAATCAAGTGGTTTTAATTTAATTTAAAAAAACTCGAAATTTTTCAACGTGTTGATTTAAATGTTATATATATATATATATATATATATATATACACGATTTGTAATGAATTGTATTAAAAATGAGTAAATCTACTTCGACTTATTCATATTTTATGGTTTTAAATTGAGAAATTATTTAAAATGTATGTATACAAAAATTTAAAAAAAAAATTAAAATGTATAAGTACAAGAAAACATAAAAATAAAAATAATTATAAGTCAAAATTAATAATTTAAAAGTACATCTGTTTGTTACTACTTACTACTTTGTTTTGAAAATCAAACATAAAATTTTTGTGTTTAAACATTGTAATACATGAACTATAGAAAGATTTTTTTATGACTGAATTCAACAGAGAAAGAACATAGTACTTTGGGGTTAAAAATAATTATTACATAACCTAACATTAACAATCAATTTTACACGTGTTTTCTCAACAATCAAATCTTTTTTAATACTTTTTGAAAACTTCATATTCGTCATATACTCGCTGGCCCTTTTTGGTGAAGAAACCTATTTAAAATATGCATAAATTTGGAATGAAACAAAAACAACAATTTAATTTCAATAAGGTATTTATTAATTAAAATCTTTTCTTCGTGCTTTCTGTTCTGCAAAGGTGTCTATGACATCATCAAAATTTAATGAACGAGCCATAGTATTTTCAAAACTTAATGAAAAGTTAGTTTTTTATTAGTTATTATTTGCATATTATAGAGCTGCATAAATAATATTAAAGAAATTATTAAAAAAAATCACAACACTCTAAAATTATATTTTTACATTCTTACACGCTCATGTTTTTTTTCGAAATTAAATTTATTTAGAAGAAAATTTTCATGTTTATTCTAACTTCTGTTATTAGTGAAATAAAACCAAAATTTGTTAGATTTTACTAATTTTTACGCGTATTTAGGGCCTCCGTGGCCTGGACAAAATAAAACTCTTTAAAATAATAATCTTTCATTCCTCGCGTACTTTTTTACGCGTATTTGGGGCCCCCGTGGCCTGGACAAAATAAAACTCTTTAAAATAATAATCTTACATTCCTCGCGTACTTTTTTTACGCGTATTTGGGGCCCCCGTGGCCTGGACAAAATAAAACTCTTTAAAATAATAATCTTACATTCCTCGCGTACTTTTTTACGCCTGGACAAAATAAAACTCTTTAAAATAATAACCTTACATTCCTCGCGTACTTTTTTACGCGTATTTGGGGCCCCCGTGGCCTGGACAAAATAAAACTCTTTAAAATAATAATCTTACATTCCTCGCGTACTTTTTTTACGCGTATTTGGGGCCCCCGTGGCCTGGACAAAATAAAACTCTTTAAAATAATAATCTTACATTCCTCGCGTACTTTTTTACGCGTATTTGGGGCCCCCGTGGCCTGGACAAAATAAAACTCTTTAAAATAATAATCTTACATTCCTCGCGTACTTTTTTACGCGTATTTGGGGCCTCCGTGGCCTGGACAAAATAAAACTCTTTAAAATAATAACCTTACATTCCTCGCGTACTTTTTTACGCGTATTTGGGGCCCCCGTGGCCTGGACAAAATAAAACTCTTTAAAATAATAATCTTACATTCCTCGCGTACTTTTTTTACGCGTATTTGGGGCCCCCGTGGCCTGGACAAAATAAAACTCTTTAAAATAATAATCTTACATTCCTCGCGTACTTTTTTACGCCTGGACAAAATAAAACTCTTTAAAATAATAATCTTACATTCCTCGCGTACTTTTTTACGCGTATTTGGGGCCCCCGTGGCCTAGACAAAATAAAACTCTTTAAAATAATAGTCTTACATTCCTCGCGTACTTTTTTAACGACATTAAATTTGGTTGAACGAAGTTTCCATGATTAATTCGTTTTTCATGATTTTTTTATATTATTAATGTTTCTTACGGACATTGGGGGCCCCGTATATTTGATACGGCTGATACGACGGTAGTTACGCCCCTGATTCTTACGAAAACATACTTTTCAAGTAAAATAAAGTATTAGAATATAATGTAAAAATATTTCTGAGCATGCGTCCTTTTGGGCCGGGGCCCCCTTGGGCCGGGGGCCCGTGGCATTTTGCCACCCACGCCACCCTATAGTTACGCCACTGCATACAGACATATTTTACTATTCACACCGATGATAGTGATGAATGTGATGATGTATTATCCAACTAATAAAAAGAAGAAGTTCGACAAAATAAATTAAGAGCAGGAAGACATTAGCGAATGTGCCGATTCTCCTTCAATAATCTATAGTTTGACATACATCAACAAACACTCCTACTACAAATACCAAGCAATATAAGACATCCAAGAGATTATTTTACTTTATATTTTACAAATGAATTGTTAGATAATATAATAGAAAAAACAAACTATTATGGCAGCACAAAAATGAACAAATATACTGACTAATTAGTGGCATATTCTAAATACGAGAGAAAGAAAAAGAGATTGTATTGTCTGTTATGACAAAAAGCACTAGGATAAAGGCGGCGAACAACATTTTATTGTAAAGCATGTCAAAATCAACCAACTATGCATTTTGGAAATTGTTTTGAAGGTCACCATTCTTTATAAAATGATCAAAAATAAATTAGTATTATAAATGCAAGTCCTTCAATGATCACAAATTTTTATCAAACAAATTGCATAACATATACAATGAAATCAAGTTTACAGCCGGTAAACAAGATTGTTTTGAAATCGGTGCCGTCCCGAAAGTATGAAAAATGTGTATAATACAATAATATTTACACTATCATAAAGAATTTCTAAGCAAATAGATATTATAGTATTTTAAGTCATATTACAGTAATCATCAAATAGATTATATTATATTAGGTTGTCAAATATCTCCCTTCCGCTTTTTTGCTCTTGGTTCATAATACAAAAAGGCGGAAGGGAGATATTTGACAACCTAATATAATCAGGGCCGTGCCTGGCCAGCGTGCAATGCGTGCATTAAGGTGGCCAAATCAAACAACGAGCAAATTCAAAGGCGACGCAACGACAAGAAGCCGTGATAAAAAACGGTCGCAAAAAAATTCCACTGAATTAAAAGGCGGCCAAGTTAAAAGACTCTGCTGGATTAAGAGGCGGCCAAACTTAAAGTCCGCTGAATTATTTCGCGGCCGTATTGAAAGTCCGCTAAGTTAAAAGACGATCTTAGTAAAAATCAGCCGAAGAATCGAATTAAAAAGCGGCTATTGAAGGCTTTGTTTACAAATATAAATTTATAAGTGTGGAAACTTGATGTAAGTGAAACTTTGGCTTCAAGCAAGTTGCACGAACATTCTAATATGTGTTAATAATCGACTTAACTATAAAAAAATATATTAATTCATGAGAACATTGCAATCTTGTGCAAAATTTCTAAAAATGTTAGTTATTTTTTAAAAGTGGTTTAAAAATTACATATTATTGAACAAAAAACAAACTTGTAGTATGTTCATTAAGAAGAGAATCCAAAAACGCCAAAAAAATTGTTAATAATAACTGTGAAACGACTCGACCGATCATTGACAAAAGCTAATCAGCACGATTCTCAAATAGTACCTTTGTAATGGTTTTTGAATTTTCGAATCAATTCACGAATTTAGGCTGTTACGTCGACCCAAAATTTGACACTTTTTTGATAATTCTAAAGAAACGGCTTGGGCATTGTGAGGCAGAACTAACAAGCATGAGTCTTTATCGAGTTTCATTGATTTTTCAAATAGATTTGCGTATTTTTAAGAAAACGTCGACTAAAGATGAAATTTTGACTCACGTAAAGAAACGCTGCGATTTAACGATTTAACCGTTTTTTGAGAAAACGTTGGCGAGAAGTCAAAAATCGGCCTGAATCTCAAACGATTCAGAATGACTTTAAATGTCGAGAAAACATAAAAATTACAAGTCGATTTTTTTCGTGAGAATATATTTGATGTTCTGCTACAAGTTACGTTATTTTCAAGGGGGGGCATATATGTACTTGAACGCAGTATGTTTTTAATAGCTCTTTTCATACTTATATAAGTTAATTGAAACAAATATATATATATATATATATATATATATATATATATATATATATATATATATTATTTATATATATATTTCACAATATTATATTATGATAGTATAATGATATTCCCAGAATAGATTTGCATATATATATATATATATATATATATATATATATATATATATATGTATATATATATATGTATATATATATACGAGGTGTGTTCAAAAAGTACCCGGAATTACTAATAATTAAATTTCGCGGGTCTGGAGTGTCTGATTGTCAAAATTTTTTTTTTATTGTGTTGGTATACATGCCCCTAAAGTATGATGAAATTTTCAGCTATATTCACTGTTTACTTTGTCTGTGGTAGTCGCTAAGGTTCGACGTGTTTTTCTGAGCTCGGCGATTTTTACAATGGAAGAATTGAAAAGTCAAAGAATTTGTATTAAATTTTGCGTAAAAAATGAAATAAAGTGTTGCAAAGTGCAAAAATTCACCAGATATGGCTCCGTGTGACTTTTTCCTATTCCCAAAGTTGAAGAGACCCATGAAAGGACGGCGGTTTTCCTCGATTGAAGAAAATCGCTGAGAGTGCTCAAGGACATATCAAAAAGTGAATATCAAGGGTGCTTCGAAAATTGGAAAAAACGCTGGCATAAGTGTATTATATCTGGGGGGGACTACTTTGAAGGGGACCACATTAATGTAGACGAATAAATAAATATTTTTTTGAAAAAACGAAAATTCCGGGTACTTTTTGAACAGACCTCGTATATGTATATATGCAAACAATATTATATTATGATAGTATAATGATATTCCCAGAGTAGGTGTATACAATTTGTATCGTTATGTAAAAATCAATGTATGTATTTAAGTCAAATAAAGCAAATTTTCAAATTAAAAAAAATTATACTTGCTCGTAGGCGGCCATATACCCAGGCACGGCCCTGTATATAATATTTAGCTTGTAATGCGGTTTAAACTTATTAGTAAGCGTGAATTATTTCCTGCATAATTATTGTTACACTACTACAAGTTTATTATACTAATGAATTTCATATAATATGTTCTTAAATTAAATGTAAATTACTTACTTAGGTGTCATTTTGCCTTAAGGCACGTCGCATAAACTTCCTGATATGTGTAAATAATCGACTTAATCGATTTAGATTTGCCTTTGCTAAGAACTTATCAGCACGTCTCCCCGTCAATTTGAATTATTCAAAACGGTTGATCCGTGTTCGTGAAATCGTCGATGAAATTTTTTCTATGGTAGGCCAAAATGTTCAGAAACCTTTGAAACGTAAAGATATGCAAAGACTTTTATTTTCGATTGTTTTGCTTACCCTACGGGAAGTTAAAAATAACATTTTGTAAGTTATCGTCACTTTTCAAGACAGAATTGAAAATTGAGGTACGGTTCCGTAATATACGCGTATATTATATTAAATTAGACTATTTCTTAAACCTGGTAGAACATTAGAGGTTATTTTACAACATATTGCATCAAATTTCATAATATAATCAAAGTTCGAAATATATATATTTATATGTCCATTGAGCAAGTTTTTCTTGAAACTGTAAATAAAAACCCAATTGGGTTTAATGTACTAATATTGCTTCTAGGGTTTATACAAAAATTTTGTTTTCGAAACCGGCTTTCGAATTTTAATTTTACCAGAAAACCGGTTTTAGCCGGTTTTCGAATTTTTTACAGAAAATAAATTTTTGCTCGAATATTCTGTGATAACAAATATTTATCCGCAAATTTAGTGCGATTTAAAGCAGTATTTGACTAAATTTATTCATTGGTTAATTTTATGGACAGTAAACAAAATTATTTTAATTTTAATAGTAGATCAAAGAAATAAGACTATATGTGGATTAAATAACTTTGAAAATAATTATTCGTTATTCATGCATCATTTTCACATATAAGAATGAAAATATATTTTTATGGTAGTGAAAGGAAAGTTTTAGAATAAATAAAAATAATACATTTTTAAATAAAAAACATTTATTAAATTAAAAAAAAATTAGGTACATGTCGATACATATCAATTTTAGTTTTAAAAACAATTAAGCTAAATCCCGAGTATTTTCTATTTCGAGCAATTTTAATTAATTAATTTTATAAATTCTAATTATTTTCTTGTTTAATAAAATATGATTTTAAAAAACTGAGAACCTATATTGATTTGTTACTTGGACGTGTCTTTTGTTCGCTCACAAAATTTTCCGACACAGAAACACTCTCTTACTTGCGACCGAACTAGGCTTAATTGGTTTTAAAGCCTGATATAATAATTCTAAGTTTTTTGTTCTTTTATCTGTACATGGCTTCTAGGGCTTAAAACTTTTTTTTCAAGTTTGAGTAAAGAAACTAATTTAAATTAATATATAACTGGTATAAAAATCTAAATTAATATATACAGTAGACAAAAGGTAACACGAAACCTTTCTGGGAGCCATAGCGGACTGATATTGATTCCAAATATTATCGAACCGATATGATTTCAAGAATCAAAACGCCTTCATCTATTTTTTATATTTGGTTATTTTTGTCATTTACCATTTATACAGTGAAAACCGACTTTATCTACTAAAAGACCGGATTTCGAATTCCATAATTTTCGTCGAAAAACGGGTTTTTAAAAACCGAAAAACCCTAATTGCTTCATGCAGAATATTAATCATCAAAAACTCAAATTACTTTCATTTCGTTCATTAAAATAGCTCATATTATTAATAGTTTAACCCTAGAAGGACATGTCCATCAATATGGAACATGAAAATAACTATACTATGAGTCTGAACTATACTATTAACATGGGAATAACTATACAATAAGAACAAGTTGTTAATGAGATAAATAAGTAAATATTTACCAATAGCTTTTGATTTTTTTTATTAGCAACGTCAGAGCGCAGGCTCTCAGAAAAGTGTAATCAATTGATTTTAATATTATTATTGAGATTTAATTTTACAATTTAAAATATTTTTACTAGGTACTATAATTAAAACAATATTTATTTCTTAAATAAAAATATTTATATCTTATAAGATTACATCAGTTAACATCAATTACAATATTTTGTTTTGCTTTCTCAGATGGTTTTAATCGCAATAAATTGGCTGTCTGAATTTCTGAATCGTCTTCAGCTACACTTGATCCAGCTAAAAGCAAATGCATTGCGCCTTCAAGATTAGCCAATTCTAAACTTAACTGCTCTTCTTCGGATATTCTACTTCCTAATCTAATTATCATTTTTATAACATCAGGTGGAAATTGATTTAAGCTATTATCATGTACATCAAGAAAAACATTGGCAACATCAATCAATGTTCTTGTGAACCGGTGGTCTCCGATATATTTTATGAGAAACCTAAGAAGTGCTTTAACTATCTTCATATCTCTACCTGCAACAGCAGTATGCAATCCTTTTCTTCGCAACAATTCTTGCATCAACGATACAGTCACATGTGGATTTTTGTTAACAACATAAGGCTGCAAAACAATATCTAATGCTTTTGAATATTCAAATTTCCTCAAACAAGTATCGTGCTTGGACTGTAATTCTTTTAATGTTTCAGGCACCACCGTATCAACTAAAGTTGAATGTGTGTTAGATGCATATTTATATGATTTAATCTTGCATTTTGCTTTAGTAGCTTTGACTTTTTCGTCCCTTCTATGAATTGAAACTAAACCATCAACCATTCCTGCTACTAATGTTTCATCATTTTTAGAAATTGCCAAACTAAGTACTGCACTTGGATAATCAATTGTGTGTATTACATTATATGTAGAAATATCATAAACTTTTACATGGCGATCTAGGCTCCCGGAGAGTAAACGTTTATTTTCAGAAGCTAACCTGAGACAAGTGACTGTTTTATGATGTTGTATTATTTTAGCTAAAAGACGACCAGCTAAAACATCCCAAACCTTGAAAGAAGTCAATGATTAGTAATAAAGGTATTAAACTAATAATTAATACTTTATATTTTAATATTATATATCTACTATCCAAATTAAATCTATTTTAAAAATTTGAATGTATTAAATATACCTTTATATCTGTACCTCCTGCAGTAAGAAAAATACCACCAGTTGGTAAAAATAAAACTGATTCCACAGGATTGCCATGATCAACTTTTATTACAGATTTTGTTGAATCTCTATCATCCCACATATTTATTATACCATCATATCCACCAGAAAGTAATATATTTGGACTTACTGGACTACAACATCCTGCTCTTATGTAATCCTTGTGTCCCATAAAGTTTGTAATAGATTTTTCACTTGGGATATCCCAAAGTTTTACACTTTTATCATCTGAAAAGCTCGCAATTTGATTCATATTTGATGTAAAAGATGTTCTATGTACCTGGAATTTTTAATAAATTATTTTAATATAACTCATCAAAATGTGCTATTTAATTAAATTTAATAAAATATATTTTATGCCTGTGCATAAACATACTGGTGCTGTATGTCCAGAGAATAAACGTAGCATGCTTTTAGAACTGACATCAAAAAGTTTAACATGTGATTCTTCACCACCAGCACATAATAGTTTTCCATCTTTTCTAAAGGTTCCGCCATAGGCACTTTCACGAAATCGTGATATATTTTTTGCTACCAGTTTAGTAATTGGATTATACAACTGCACTCGTATCGAACAAGTAACTGCAAAGTAATATGGTTCTACTGGAGAAAAGTCTATATGATCTATAGCTCCAAATTCTTTAACTAATACTGGTACCTACAACAGAAAATAAAATGGTAGTGAAACAAGAAATAAAATGTAAATAAAATAAAAACAAAGAATAATAATTAATTAATACCCCTATTTTTTTCCAATAAATGGTATCATCTGTATCAATAGGTTTCGATTTTATATATATTTTACTATTCGTTTTCTTAAAAGACGCCATTCTGACATTTATTTATGTATATTTTAATTATTTTAGTTATTTATTATTTTGTAATAAAAATATTTATGATGTGCACGTGAAAGAGGTTATGTTTAGCACATGTAGTTTGACGTTTGCAAAAGTTATGGCGTTGAATCACCGAACACTATTCAGCCGTTTCTCATTCGTTAACGCATCAACTATTGTAAAGGTGCGCCCTCACCTATCGAACAAGCACGAACGAACATGACGAACATGAAAATACAAAGAAGAACGAACACGAACGAAGGCAAATCATTCCAAACAATCTTGAACAAACGCTTCAAAGCAGTGAGGGCTTGAATATACTCTTCCTAGACAATATAATAATGATACTCTTCTTTTATCTATGGCGTGAACGTCCACAAAACTAATGCATGACCATAGATAAAAGAAGAGTATCATTATTATATGACTACTCTAACATCAGTGCATGACTACTCTAACATCAGAAAAGAAAAATGTTTGTCTACATTCGTGGTATCGTCGACACTGAACATACGAGTTCAAACATAAACAAACAATTTTCTTTGATGTACCGATAAGTTGCGCAACATTGCTCGCTATGTTTGCTTGTGTTCGTTGTGGCTCCAGACCATAGATAAATAAACCACACTATGCTCAACAGGCATAGATAAAATAAATGTGAACAGGTTTATCATTGCATGCTCATTTGCATTCATAGATAAAATAAGAGTATATGCACTCATAGATAAAAAAGAGCATGTTTGCATTTATGCTATGTTTATTTATTTATAGATGAAAGAAGAGTATATAGATGTTGTGTCTATATATTATTTATATTTCTAATTAAAAGAACTGAATAACGTGTATATAAGTTTAATTTACAATAATAATAATAAGTATAAAGTATTTCACTGATATAAAATATATTTAGATTAGGTTTATGTCTTCACTCTTCCAAGGGTTGATGCACAAGAGGGTGAGATTGCATTTTTGACAGTTTGCGACATTCTTCACACGCAACGTGCCTATGAAGTTGGTATTGGCGTTTCTAGTTGTTACTCTCACCGCTAGGTGTCAGGAGACGCCATAAGTATTTATGAGGAGGCATTAAATCAAGCTAAGACTTTGCATAATTCAGCCAGCATGAAGTTGCCGGCGAAGACTGATATCAAGCTGTCAAGCATTTCAGATGTCAAGAGCGCGTCGGCCATTTTGTTCATTTTTATATCAGCGTTGTGTCGGCGTATTGTTTTTTATTAAGTAGGCTTGTTTCATATTTAATATTTTTTAGCTTTTCGTTATGATTCATTCTTTTTGTGTTTATTTTTTTATGTCCGTTCAAGTTTATTCGCTTTGGCTTTTTGATTACGCGCATATTTAGTTCTTATTATAATTTTTACATTTTAGGGTTATATTTTAGGATTCTTTTCATTCAAAGATCATTTTAGTCTAGCTTAGATTTTATACAATGTTTTAGTTATAATTTTGTTTTAAAAAATAATTTAGGCTTACGTTTTACGCATAGGGTTACATTTTATTCATTATTTTTGTTAGGGTTACGTTGTATACATTATTAGGTTTGGTTTCGATCTTAACCTTAATTCAGTGGAAGCTAACTAAAACTCAACAAACAACAAATAGAAGGTTCAGTAATGAAATAAAATTGAAACACTTTTGATGTTATAATACTAAACCAAAATACTTCATACTGTCTTGGAATTGACAGATATATTTCGTTTTTTCTGCAATATTTGCTATGAGGGAACAAGATATATTGTATTTTAACGTAATATATTGTCTAAGATAAAGGCTATCATCTTGGTATTAGACAATATAATAATAATAATACTTGTTTGGCTGACACGAAGCTAATTTATGATAATATCACATTTCTTTGTCATACCAACATACGACGCTCAACCGAGAATAAAAAAAGTGTAACAACATTGAAAGACAAAAAACCTATGTGCGTCAAACAAAACTGTCAAACAAAAAAACAAAACTGTCAAACGTCAAAATAGTACACCCATTGTTATATTGTCTCTCACCTCTCACCTCTCACATTTAGACACCTTTTAGACAGTTACATAGAAATCCCAATTGTAAGTATATAATTATTTACGAAAGCGGTTCTTTTACATTTACATGGTCATACATTGTCTCTTCACAACCAATATTATTTCAGGGAACCAAACATATAGTTATTCAAAACCTAGTACAGTTTTGTTAGAAATTATTAGGAAATTTTTAATTAGGGCTTCGCAGAGTGTTTTAGTATAGTTATTTTATTTACCCAGGTAAATGTTATTCAGGTTGTTTTTGTTTGCTTAGTGTGTTTTAATTCTATTGTAGGGTTCACTGAATTAAGATTAGGACTTCAGCCTGAACATCAAAATAGCTACAAGAGTCTTGTAGCATGTAACATCTGATTATTAGAACTTAACTCATATGTATGGATGTATGGATGTATATATATATATATATATATATATATATATATATATATATATATATATATATATATATATATATATTACATGCTAGCATATGTATAGTAATGTAATAAACTTAAGTTCAGTCCGATATTTTTGCCTATTTTTATCTTTAAGTGATCTGATTACTTTTTCTAACAATGATTAACATAGGTAATAAGAAACACAATTAAAACCATCTATTTCATCAAATATTTTTATTCAAAATATATACACATACTATTTACAATATAAAGCATGTCACAGGAAACATGTAATAAATAATATAGAATAAATATAAATAACATAGAATAAATATAAATAATATAGAATAAATATAAACATTGAAATTAAACATAAAAAAGAGAAAAGAATTGCATTTTGAAGAAGCCAAACCAAAGTTAAACCGAACAATAAATGAAAACTGAATTTTAAAATTTAAATGGAAGTATGGACAGAAACCTTGTTATATAACTTCCACCAACCGAAAAACCGTATTTTTTGTAGAAGTTATTAATAAAACAAAAATGTATTTAGTTTTATAATCATACAAGTCAATTAAAAATTTACCCTTGATATGTTCTTTCAGGCTCTTATCTAACGAAATAAATTTTATATCTTGACTGTGTCCCATATGTGTCTTCCAAAATTCAACATGAACTGTTCCATTGTGATTAATAGTACAACTAATCCTTGATGGGCAAGCATATCCGGTTTTGTTGCTCGTTTTAGTAAACAAGCGTACAGTGGGTTTTTGGTCATATGTATATGACCTGTGGCAATCGAAATAAATTGTCTTGTCATCAGTTTTTGATTTATATCCTGAATTGCATTTTACATAATGCGAAAACTCCTTCCGCTCTATGTCTGTTTTCCACAATTCAAAATCTACAAAGTCAAAAATGTAGGTAATTGTGTAATTAGGGTTATAAATTATGAGAGAGAAGACTTCAAACCTTTAATGTTTTGAAACACAAACTGTTCATAATCAATTGTAGTTTTGTGATAAAACTCAATATGATCGTATAAACCTGTGTACCTAGAAAAAACAGAGGAGCAGGGAGGGAGTGGACATCTTATTCTGGATTTCCTTGATGGTGTACCTACAAAAATGATTTATATGTAACACAATAATAAATAAGATGAATGTACATATATAAAAGCACTACATACCTATAAAATTTTCCTTAGTACTGATTGGGGAACTGGGAATGAGAGGCGTGTGAATTTGAACTTTAGTAGAGGAAGTACAAGGATGTGGCGATAAACTTACGTGGAAATGTTTGTGAAGACGATCTGATATGGAAGGAGCAGAGATAAAAGATGAGCAAGCAGAAAGTGGACATCTTAGTTTCTCTTTTGTTGATGGTGTACCTACAAAAATGATTTATATGTAACACAATAATAAATAAAATGAATGTACATATATAAAAGCACTACATACCTGTAAAATTTTCCTTAGAACTGATTGGGGAACTGGGAGTGGGAGGCGTGTGAATTTGAACTTTAATAGAGGAAGTGCAAGGATGCGGCGATAAACTTACGTGGGGATGTTTGTGAAGAGGATCTGATGTGGGTGAAAGTAAATTGTAAGGTGATGTCAAACATGTAGTAGTATATGAGGTGGGTAAAGAAGGATGCTTTATATTTGTTTTAGTGGAGGAGGAAAGGTGTGTAATGTCTTCAAAAGATACCGAAGAAGATTGGGCAAGTGAAGGGTTAGGGATATTATTATGAACTTGGCTCACATGATGAGTTAATAAATATTTAAATTTAAAAGTTTTAAGGCAGAAAGCACACGCATTGGGATAAACAGCTCTTGGCTCTTTGTCATGTTTTTGTCTCATGTGGCGATACAAGGAGCTACGAGCAGTGAATGGAATCTGACACTCGGTACAGAAAAAGTCGCTGTCCATGTTGTCACATAAGTAAAGTAATAAAGTGAAATATAAAATAAAAGTAATGAAGGTAATAAAACGTATCGTAATAAATGTAAAGAAAATTAGAAGCGAAAAAGTAAATATATAAAGTGAGTATCTAAATGATATTAATTCTAAACTAAATATAAACTTAAATGAGCAAAATCTAAAAATAAGCTTATAAAATAGAATGTAACCTAATGTAAATGAACAAAATCTAAAAATAAGCTTATAAAATAGAATGTAACCTGAAGTGAAATAAAAGTAAGTATCTAAATAGTAAAAATATGAAACGAAAAATAAACTTACGCAAGCTAAGTAAAAATCTAAAAAAACACGTAACTAAACTAAAAAGTAAAAAATCCTAAAAAACACTTATTGTAACTATGAAATATGAAAAATAAGCATGAATTATAATAAGAGGCTTACTAGAGCAAAAAAAGCAACGCAAGGAAAGCGATCCAGAGCAAAAAAACGAAAAACCGAACCGAAATATGTGAAAAAAACTGTTATAAACAAATAAAAAAAATAATAGAATTAGAAATAGCAACAGAACGAAAGAATTCTAATTACACGAAAAGAAAAAGCAGAAAATATAATAAAACGCTTACTTGAAACGAAACCGACGCGACGCGACAAAAATGAGAAAAGAACGCGGGACTAAATATTCCACGAAATGACAGGTTATGCTCTATCCCGGAGCCAACTTCAGAGCGTAGGTGCTTTTTAAACGTCAAAACCCATCTGTCATGTATCAGAATTTAGTGGCTCCTGTTAGCTGTAACACATTACAGATTTGTCAAATCTTTTGCACTGTGCTTTCAACTTTTTTATGTTGGATTCGCTGTTACGATTACTCCATACTCCATACTCTTCTTTTATCTATGACTCCATTACTATAATTTTTTTTTCGGCGTGCTTATTGTGTAACTCGGGCGTCTCGTATTTTATATTTTTTATTCGCGTTTTCTTTCATTACGTTTTTTTGCTACGTGTACTAATCATTTTGTGATTTTGTTGATTGTGCGCTATTTTATTTCTTTACATTTTATATTTGCTATTTTATTGCGGGATTCAAGAGCTTCTATAGGGAATAAGGTTAGTTTCTTTTCAGCAAGAGACGCGAGTTTTTTCATCTCATTAGCTTTTAGTTTCATTTTATTTTCAGCCCCTATCACTTTTATTGATTTACTTTATTCACTTAGATTCTTAACTTTAGTTTAATCACTTAGATTATTACATTAAGTTTACTTTAATCGCTTACATTCTTAACTATACTATTATCGTAGATTCTTAACTTTACATTAATCACTTACATTCTTTACTTTACTTTAATCACTTTAGGTTAGCACTTAGATTATTTACTTTAGGCTATCACTTAGGTTATTCACTTTACTTTATCATTTTAGGGTATATCACTTTAGTTATAAGCTTCCTTTTATTCATTTTTTACTGATTACCACTTAGGTTAGGTTATTCTTTTCATTTCATTCATTGTTTAGGGTATATAGCTTTGCATATTTACTATTTTAAGGTATAGCTTATTTACTATTTTAAGGTATAGCTTATTTACTATTTTAAGGTTTAACACTTACGTTTTTACTCTATTATGTTTATATAATCTACATTTTTATTTTATTTCTTATGGATATTACGACTACTAAAACCTGTTTGTATTGTTCTACAGTATGTAAAACAAACAGTTCTTTATATCGCCATATTAGGGCCAAGCATGGGAAAGAACCCATGCATTTTGATCGAACATTTCAGTGCATTTATTGCAGTAAGGCTTTGCATTCGACATATGCTTTGAAAGACATATTACATGCTTTGCATTCGACATATGCTTTGAAAAGACATATTACACACTTTCATCCTACCATTCCTCTTCAACCATCTGCTCCCAATTCTGTTCTAGCCACTGACACTCACTCATCAAATTCTTCCTCACATATTCAAACAGTTCATTCCGATCATATCACCTACAACACCTACTTCAATAATTTCCGCATCAACCCTAGAACATCAGTCGCCCTTCATTCCTATGCTGCCTCAATTTCACCTACACCATCAACTTCTACCACCATCATCAACTCCATTGCCACACAATCCACTTCTTGCACCAGTGTTCAACAGCAGATAAACTATATTTCAGGTATGTGTACCAAACATGTTATTAAACAATGATGCAGCAAACAGTAATAATGTTATGTTTTAATAGGTACTCAAAGGAAATCTAGGATCTTGTGCCCCCTTGACAATTGTCAAAGGTTATTATCCAGATACAATGGCTTACATCAACATATCGAAGTTGATCACACCATCCACATCCAGCATGAAGAAATCACATTTTCTTCTTTTAATGGTTTGTTCATTTTCGATTATAGACTTTGTCAATGCACTTTTCTATTATTTGGTATTTTTATATAGATTTTCAATCATCGAAAAATATCTGTGATAAGATAAGTAACAGAAAAAATAATATATACATTAATCATAAACAGAATTAATCCAAAAGCAATGGATTGAAAATATCATCGTATGTTTTAATTGTTATTGGTGAGTTGGATTTAACCTGTAATGTTATATAATTTATGTTGCTTTACTTTTTAATCAACTTGAGTGGTGTGTTTTTGTAATAACTCACTATTGTTGAAATGAGCATTTTGTGTATCTAATGATGCAACAAAGTTCTTCTCTCACAATTTATGGTATTTGGTTTCATTTGTTTATATTATCATTTCAATTCTATCTTTCAAATTTCTAATGTGAATAACATTTATTAAAGCTATATTGCGGAGATAAGTTTTAAATTATAATCATACATATTTCTTTTCATATTATGGTAATAGGTTTTGAATTGTCAATATGATTTATTTATTGTTACTTTACGGTAATAGTTTTTAAATTGTAAATATGATATTAATTGTTACATTACGGTGATACGTTTTGAATTGTCGATATATTTTTATTTATTATTACATTATGGTAATAGGTTTTAAATTGTAAATATGATTTATTTATTATTACACTTTTTAGTGATAGGTTTTAAATTGTGAATATTTGATTTATTTATTATAACATTACTAATAATAAGTTTTGAATCATGAAGAATTGTGTTTGACTGGTATGTGGTTGTGTGTTATACTGGTATGTGGTACAATTTGTTTTCTAATTTTCCTTCACGCCATGCTTTACTCATTAATATTAACATTGTGTAAATAGATTTTAACTCGTAAGCTATTTCTTGTAAATAACTATATATTTAATTCACATTCAATAAAAAATATTACCACAATTATGCTTTATCTTTTTTTTAAAAAAATAGCTTTGTTTCTGTAGCAAAATTATGTGATCTAAAAGTTTTCAGTTATTCAATGTTGCATTCTACAGTTTAAACTACTGTTAAAAACTGGAACAGTCCTGGATTTGAATAATGCACTTATTCTGATAATAAAGATTGTGTTCTGAAATTCAGTCATTTGTAGTCAACAATATTTAAAGTTTTCAACAATTATATTGCACACTAGTATGGAACAGATATAAGAAATGGTAAAAAAATTTAATTTTGATATTCTATCATACAAGTAGTCTTGCTATAATAAATACGAAAGATTGTAAATGTAGCAGTATTTGGCTTACATAATTATACATTTTTGTGTTCAAGCAAATTATGCACACAAAATAGTTCACGTTTACCAGTGTTCTTCAATTGAAATCTACCATACATAACAAAAATCCAATATTGCAACAATATCTGACTGAATGAAAATTAATTACTAAACACCAAAATAAGAAATTGAGGTTAAGTTTCGACAGTTGCGACAAATGTTTTGACATATATGAATGCTCTGCAGTTGGTATGCCTGCTCAGAAGAATTTCTGATTTTTGAATGTTGGTACCGTGATTTTTTCGTTTCAGCACTTTGTTAATCCGGTGTTTAGAGCCGTGTAAAATCGTCGTTCACAAACCATGTTTCGTGTTATCGACATCTAGGTGAGAATTTGGCGCTAGTGCGTCGATACCAAGTGACAGGTTGTTAATTCTCTAGCATTAAGCCGCCATTTTGATCAGGGTTGTTATTGTGTTTTGCCACTGGTGTGGTAACGAGTGTTGTGTATAAAAGTTTATAAAGTTTTAATTGTTGTTTAAACAAAGAGTATGACATAGATAAACAAGTGCAGAAGAAGTGCAGAACAAGTGCAGAAGAAGTATAATAGAAAGTGTATAATGTATGTAAGAATACATAATGTAGTGTACTGTGTATTACTCCTGTCAATTGTGTGCTCGAAGGCGCGATTGATTCAAAGAAAACATTATTATTGTCTAATAATAATAGTAATAACTTTTGTTATTACTTAATATATTTTTATTATAATTCAAAGTTCAAATTCTAATAAACTATTTTAGGACTATATTTTTTCATATTAATAATACATTATTTTTAAAGTACAAATATTTGTATTTCAAATTTTGGCGCTTTAATTTGAATGCCGAGTGATATGCTATTGAAGCGCCATAGCAATGTAGCGCCCGTAGCAATAATTAATTCTTTGAACCAAAATACCGCGAGAATGAAACGTCTATGTCTAGGCTGTCAAAGTTGTACAGTTAATTTTAACGAACGCATCGTATTTTTATTTTATAGTTTAAAGAATAATATTATTAAGATTTATCTAATTTGGAACTGATAGTATCAAGCCAATTGTAATATTATTAAAACATCTGGGCTCAAGTGAGTAAATCATTCTAGGCTATGAAAGTAATGTACAATTTTAAGGTACCGCTTATGCTTAAGAATTAGTTTATTATTTCGTTTATTTATAAATTATTTAGTATTTAATCAAAGTGGTATTTACCGAATATGGAATCATGTATTAATAAAAAATTGGAAGTAAATATATCCCATGCATTTAATCTTTAAAATTGTGACCGTAAAGGTTAGTTTCTAGGAGTTTCCTAGAATATAGACTTGTTAAAAGGTTATTTTAAAACTTTTGGGATATATCAACTTTGAAGAGACTACTAGAGATAAATTGTATTAGAAGTGTAACAGTTATACATCTTTTTTTATTTTTTAATTTGAATTACAAACTGTCTTATTAGTTAGTGAGACACTCACAGACAAGAATAGACAGAATAACTCATTAAAATATCCAAAGAAAATATTGTCAATGCGGTTTGAAAGTTAGGTGCTTGTAAATTATGTGCGTTAATTAGATCTGGATTGTGCAGACATTGGATTAAGTAAGGTAGGTCAGAAGGCCATTTCTTGCTTGGTCTTCTTAACGGTCTGTGAATCGTTTGAATAGTAGGATTTGTATGCTGGATGAATTTATTGTTGAAAGATAAACTTGTAATTTTGATCATTTCCTTGACTGTAGAGATTTTTAAATCCTTATGTAGGCAAAAGTTTGAAATATACCATAGCTCATTAGTTAAGATACTTAGAATTTTGTTCTGGCATGTTTGAATAATGTTTGTGTTTGATTTACAAGGGCGACCCCATAGTTTGATTCCATAAGTCCAAATGGGCACTATTATACCTTTGCACAGAAGTACTTTGTACTAGAGAAGTTTCGGATTTCCTCCCAATAAGCCAGTAAATTTTTTTATTTTCAGTTGGAATGCAACATATTAAAGCAATAATAATACTTATATAATAAACAATAAATTAAAAAAAAAACTGCAATAATATTGATCTTATAAGATTAAGATAGAAAACTATTCTAGGTCTTGTGGTTGAGTCTTAAATGGAGCATTGGGCTATACAGCTATATTTATATCATATCAAATTAATATAAATTTGACTATCAATTATTAAAGGTATTTATAGCAGGTGTAGAAATAAAAACTGACTTTATAGAAAGAAATTTTCTTTATATCTATTTTAGACTGAAGTCAGTGATGTCTACTCAAAAAGAACCTGAAACAGATCCTGCGAAGGTAGAGAGGACAGGAACTGTTCGCGAAGTTGGAAATAAAGCAATTTGGAGCTTATCTTCTTGTAAACCTGGTAAAATGATACTATTTTACAATAATTATGTTTGTATATAGTGTCATAAATTATTTTATTTTACTATACATTTAGGTTTTGGCGTTGATCAAATAAGAGATGATTGTATTGACACATATTGGCAGTCTGATGGACAGTTACCACATCTTGTTAATATACAGTTTTTAAAGAAGACTTTAGGTAATTATCTAACAATGAAAATAAGGCTGTGCAAACATTGCTAATTATAGTAATTATTGCCACAACATATTTAAATTACAAAATTCTAATATATTAAAGTCATAAAATCAAAATAAACCCCATATATGACAACAAAAAATGAATATGAAATTAAGTTAAATATATAAATCATTTTTATTAAATTAGTTATGTTATTCTTTTTATTTCAGTTTGTCACATATACATATACACTGATTATAAGCTTGATGAGAGCTACACGCCTAGTCGCATTTCTATAAGAGCAGGAACACACTTCAATGATTTGCAAGAAGTTGAAATTATTGAATTATCAGAACCTACAGGTTAGAACTTTTTGAATAACATAATAATTATATTTAACATTTAATTATATATAACATTAAGAAGTCTTCATTATAAACGTACAATATTAATGTTTTTAAAATGCCATCATTTTCTTTGATGTCCATATCCAAGATCATCATCAGTTGATACATCTTCGCTATCTTCGGTCATGTCCTATGGTACATAATATTAATTAACATTCAGGTTATTATAAACTCAGCTAAATAATATATTTTCGCAGAATTCTATATTCAATTTTATATATGTATATAATTGTGACTTGTAATATTTTTGGTGTTATTTTGTCTATGAAACCTCTGTCATTACTTACTGATGGTGTTATATCATCAGATTCGTTTTGGTATATTTCTGGTTCTCGAGATATTCCTTTCACCTGTCCACCCTTTTCATTTTTAGCTGGTTGAGCATTTATTTTCACTGAGCTGCTTCTGCGAAATGCGCAAGTCTGAAAAATATAGGAACTTCATTAATTTTACTAAGCATTATACTATTCTGCTATAAAAGTTAACTAACTGAATGTGAATGTGGAAGTGATATATAAGTGATAGGGATAGCTAACACAAATTATAAGGATCGTTTACCCGATGCAATGCATGTCACATATAGCATAAATGCTCTTGGAGCATATTGATTTATTAAAATTAAGTTTTTTTTTTATTAAACTTAAATTTAAGCTCTTCCATAAGTTTAAGAAAGTCTTAATCAAAATTCAGTAAAGAACTAGTGGAGCGCATGGCATCGTGCTTTAAGGCAAATTGCTGGAACTTTCTGTACCGTAATTAAGCATTCGAGAAATGAAAATAATCAATAATTGTTTTGAATAATTTCAAATAGATTATTTATTATAAATACATACTGTTAACTTATAAGTGCTTTTTAAATCGGGCGACGAGTGTATTTTACAAACAGCTTATGTGCATGTTTATAATACATTTGATTTTTTTTTTCGATTTTTTTTGTTAATTTAGAATTTTTTTCAAAATATTGACTTTTTTTTTAGAAGTTTGAAATTTTTTCGATTTGTTTTAAAAAAAAGTTTTTCTTAACTTTTTGAGAATTTAGATATTTTTGAGTATATTCAACAAAATGTTTTTTGAATTCATCAAATCGAACGCTTCATTCTCTCAAAAACTGAATTATCATTTTTGATTTGATTGCTATAGTGATTATTACGAAATATGGGGTTTGTGATTGAAGGGTGAAATGTAGGATTTGATGTGTTTTTGAATTATGAATTATAAAAATAAAATAATAGAAAATGGTTGTATACTTAGGAGTATGAAACATATATGTTAGCCGATTCTCAGTCATACTGATAATGATTATAAAATTTAAACAAAATCGGTCCAGCCGTTCGGGAGAAGTATTGCGTATATATATATATATATATATATAGATATATAAACTCTTACGTCTTTGTTGCACGACTTCTCGTTTCCCTTTCGATTATCTATCGGCATAGTTCTGTTGGCTGATGAACGTGCGTTTTGTAAAGTATATTTAGGATCTAATGATATTTGAGCTGATTTCGAGTTTTCTGGTTCATCGAAACTAGCAGACGATGATGATACATGCTTTGGCCCGTAAACACTTTCTATTTCTGGTGGTTTTGGGATCGTTGATTTTCTCCGTGAAGTGTTTGATTCAATCTTGCTATTGGTACCACTAGAACTTTTTTGATTATTTCCGTTCCAGCCACTTTTGTCGCGACCTCCTGCATTACGATCTGTTCCTTCGAAGCCGCTTCCAGTATTAAAATTTGCCCTCTTCCGAAGGCTTTCTTCAGATGTTGTTTTAACGAACTGCAAATCTACGTTCTAGAAGTAAAATTTTATGGAAAAAGAAGATTCGTTTAATAAAATAAGTGCTTATGTTTGTGATGGCATTGAAAAATAATTCAAAATAAGTTGCAACAAACAGTACAATCAACCTCATTATAGACGAAAAACTAAATGAAATATAATTTTAACTTTTTAAGCTCTAACAAATGATTATTTGGCATTAGATCGCTGTAAATCTACATTCGGATTATTTTCTGTGATATCTTCGTTTATTAATAGCAATAGAAAGTTAAATATTAGCATATCGTTTTCTGACATGTATTTATAATCGATTTAATCAATAAGAATTGAGTATGAGTAACTTTTAAAATTGTGACGATAGCATTTTGCATTTTATTTGCAACGCCTATTTGTAAAAACTTTTTAAAGTTATATCACTTTTCGTTAGGCTTATAATATTTTAAGATGTTCGTTAAAACAATGAACTCTGTTATCGCATAAATCTAAAAAAAATAATGAATAATTCCTATTTTATATTTTTTGTATGCTCTAACAGTTTTGAAATTCGGAATTTTCGATGCGAGTCTACATATACAGTGTTTTCAATTTTGGTTTCAAAGGATTCAAAGGATGATCTAAAAATAAAATAATGAAGCTGGATTTTCAGTCGAAAACAAATTATCCTTAGGGATGTTGAAAATGTAAATATCAGAGACCGGTTTCGCATTGAGTTGCGCCCTTCCTTTTGCAATGTGGTTTAGTTTAGTATTTATTTTGCCGAAATATATAACGTATGTATAGAACCTACTTGTGACTTTCGATCCTCGTCATCTTCCTTTGTTTTGGCGATTTTCTTTTTATCTTGTGATTTTGCAGGAGAATAGAATATTTGAACGAGCGTACTG